GGGTGCAGATCAGGCTGTTAGCACCACAAAGGGATGGGTGGTAGCTTGTAGGGAGGGCGTGGGAGCAGCAGAGTAGGGTCACCTGTGAGCAGCTGCCGCCTGGCCAGGGGAAGGGCCGCCACTGCTGTTCACACAGTTCCCTGCGGGGGTGGAATGCAAGGCTCGCGTCCACAGAGGGGTGGCTCCTTTCCAGAAGGCCATGTGCCAGAGAGCTCTCCCGGTGTGCGCTGCCCAAGGACGTGTAAGGTGGTGGCTTTTCATGTTTCCCTTTTGTGTGTATTTGGTAAATAACCGTCTCCTGGTGGTTGTCTTTCAGGTGTGCTGGGATATGCACCTACGAAGGGAAGGGGGGAATGTGTTCCATCCGTCTCAGTGAACCCCTTTTAAAGTTGAGACCAAGAAAGGATCTCGTGGAGGTATTCTTTGCATAAACCTGATTCTTAGCTCAGTAATTTAGAAAGTCTTATTGATTTAGACTGCTGTGAATTCACCTGCCAATGTAAAGTACAGAAATCCGTTTTCTCTCATTGCAAACTTTAATTGTGGGGTAAATAATAAAGATTACTTTATGTTTTTATAGATATAGTATCTAACCTGATATTTATAACAGTAATTTACAGATTTCAGTGGGTGCTATCCTCATTTTTATAAATGAGGAAATTAAGGTTCAGAGAAGTTAAATAACTGGTTTAAGTTGCATATTTAGAAACAGAAAAATTTAGGATCCAGATCTTCCTATTGAGACACAAATTTTGATTTCTCTTCTGTTCAACTATCCATGGTGCTGCCCGCCCAAGGACATCTAGCTGAGCTGGCAGAACAAACCAGTGTGTGGGTACATTTCACGCCTAGAGGTGATGATCACTGCTGCTAGCAAAGTGGAACAGTAGAAACTCCTAGATTACCTTTGAGTCTAGTAAATGCCTGAAATTCCCCCAAGATGCACACAGGATGACTTGTCTTGCCCCAATTATATTACTTGAAATATAAGCACAAAAGAACATAGGGTGGTGGAGGTTGGATGGGAAGTATGTGAAAACATGCTTGGAAGTATGGCGTCTGCTGTTTTTAAGGATAATAAATGGTAATGGGTTTCACAACAAAGAATGAAATTAACACTACTGAACTGTACATTTAAAAATAGATGGTAAATTTTATGTTACTGTTTTTTTACCACAATTTTTCAAAAAGTAAATAGATACTAAATGTAAAATGGTATAACAGAAATACTTGATTAATAAAAATAATAAAAGAATGAAGGAACAAAGGCCAGAGGAAGAGAAAGGTAGGTATAAACACAATATCGGTAATTAAATATAAATGGATTAAACACTCCAGTTAAAGACATGGAATGACATACTAGATTAAAAGAGACACACTTAAAGACTCATATGTTAGCCTTGGCCAGATAGGTCAGTTGATGAGAGATTTTCTGGATACACGAAGGTTGTGTGTTTGATCCCACGGTCATGGCACATAGAAGAATGAACCAATGAATGCACAAATAAGTGGAACAACAAATTCATGTTTCTTTCTCTCCCTTCCTCTCTAAAATCAATAAAAGTTAAAATTTAAAAAAGACTCATATGTTAAATGTAAAAGGATAAAAATAGTATATCATCCAAGCACTTAATAACAGAAAGCTATTGTGCCTATATTAGTATCATACTAAAGATTTAAAGGAAAGTTTTATTTGGGAAAAAGGGGGACATTTTATAATAATAAAGTAAAAAATACCCTAACAACCCTAAAAAATAATGGCCCTAAAAGCAATAATATAGCTTTAAACTACATGAAGCATAAATTAGCTGAATCACAAAGAAATAATCATCTCTTGGTAACTCAATAAGCAGAAAAAAAATAGTAAACATAAAACAAAAACTTGAACATGATTAACCAATTCAGTCTTACGAGGAGCCCTAATTGGAACAGTAGTTGCTTGTTGAATATGTACTGCATTAATTAAACGAACACATGAAAAAAAAATTTAAGGTAATGGGTGAGAAGAGAATGGAAAATGTGTGGTCATGTTATCGAGCGTTTGCTGTTGGAGGAAAGTTACAATATTAAATCAGGGGCAAGAAGGAGAAAGGATCAGTGGGACTGAACAAAAGTGAGGCCATTAAATTTATGGCATATTTAGGACCAGAAATAGTTGCTTTGGCTAGATAGAGCAGTGGTGGGAAATAGAGATGTTTTGGGATTATGTTGTGTAGAGCTTTGAATCTGACAAAAATGTGGAAAATGGTAGATATGTTTAATTCTTCTATTTTTCTGTTCAGCATAATTTTATAAGACTAAAATTCATTAATGCCAGCCTAGTTCTTCTAATGGAAATTCTTTTTAAAAAAATTGTGAAGGATTATGAAAAAGGTATATTTTTGAAGACCTTTATTATTTTCATGTTAAAAAATGTAATCATAATTTTTAGAACAAGTTATGAAACAGCAACATTAAATGCTTTGGTTACCTTTGCACCTTAATGTCTCTATCCTTGGTGTCGAATGCAGTAGGTTTTATTTGCTTGTTTTAAAAAATGTTACATTAAAACAATACACTTAGTAATTTCTCCAAATCATTTCATAGAGATCTTTTTCATTTTTTTTTATGGCTGCGTAGAATTCCATTATGTGGATGTGGTATAGTTTATTCTACCAGGCTCTTATTTCCAGTCTTTTGCCATTGTAAACAATGAAAATACCTTGGGCATATGACTTTTCATATCGTCTGGGTATTGCTAGATAGAAGGATAAATGCACTTGTAATTTTGTTAAGTGTTCAGATTCTCCATAGAGGTTGTACTGTTTTGCACTCCTACTAGTGATATGTGGAAATGTTTATTTTCCTTAGCTTTACTGATGTCAAACTTTATTAATTTTTATTTTATTTTATTTTATTTTATTATTTTAAGTAACTCTACTTATCAAGAGTTTTACTATCTTAATAAGAAGTGGCGTACTGCTGTAGTATTAATTTGCATGTTTTTATAAGTGAAGTTGAACGTTTTTTCATGTGTATGGGTTATTTATATGCCTTTTTCTGTGACCTGTCTGTAACCTTGGCCCACTTTAAAATTGGGTTGTTGGTCATTTTCCTGTTGACTTTAGGAGCTCTTTATATTTTAGGAATTAATAGCCTATGAGATGAGTCACACATATATTTTTGAGTTTGTTCACTTAACTTATGGTGTGTTTTTTTCTCCATACAGAATTTTAAAATTTTTATGTCGTGAATTCATTGATCTTTTCTTCTGGATTTTGATTGATAGATAAAAAGACTTTCCTGGAACAGGGAGTTCCTAACGTGGGATCTATAGCACTTCAGACATTCTGTGTACAGTTTTGTGCACATGTGCTTGTAGGTTTTCTAGAAATATGCATCATGACTTTTATCAGCATCTGAAAGGAGCCTGTGAGCCAAAGAAGGTTAAGACCCCAGGTAGAGTAAGAAAATGCATTTTTGCCCAGCCGGCATGGCTCAGTGGTTCAGTGTCGCTCTGTGAACCAGGAGGTCACGGTTCAGTTCCCGGTCAAGGCACATGCCCAGGTTTCCGGCTCCATCCCCAGCAGGGGGTGTGCAGGAGGCAGCTGATCAATGACTCGATCCTTCATCATTGATGTTTCTCTCTCTCCCTTTCCCTTCCTCTCTCTGAAATCAATTTAAGAAAAAGAAAATGCATTTTTATTTCAAAAGTACCATAAATTAATTTGATTGTTTTCTGTTTCAGACCCTCTTGCATGAAATGATACACGCCTATTTATTTGTCACTAATAACGATAAAGACCGGGAAGGGCATGGTCCCGAGTTTTGTAAGCATATGCATCGCATCAATCAGCTGACTGGAGCCAACATAACGGTATATGAAGCCACATATTTGTGATCTTCAGTAGTTAATTCATTCAGTAATTCCTGGGATTTAGTTAAAAACAGAGAACTGGGTAGAAACAAATACTATCTTGGAAGATTCTGCCCAGCAAGAGAGAGGCCGAGAGAAGCTGATGGCAGCAGAGCCGCCGTGTGGGAGGCCTCTGACCACACCTAAGGCAGCATTCCATGCATAGTTTTCTCAGGCTTGCAGTCCCTCTGGGCTGTCACAGTTGTCTCCTACCTTCCTTCCTTCCTTGTAGCCGCCTCCTCCAGCCCACCCTGTATTCTGCTGCCATTCCAGTCCCTAGAAGTCGTCTGCGATTCCTGTTTCGACATAATATTGTGGGAGGTGGCAGAGCCTAGAGTCCAAAAAGCATGAGGATCAGACTGCTTGGGTTCAGATGCTGGTTATAAACTGTGGGGCCTACTTTACACCTCAGTTTACTCACATGTAAAATGGGGATGAGATCAATACCCGTTACTGGATCCTTCCCAAGATTAGAGGAGAAAGTACATGCAGAGCATTTTAGCACAGTCTGAGCGCTAAGTAAATATTAGTTGTTTTATTGTCATCATTCATTTTATCAAATAACCTCTCTGTTCCTTTTTCCTTCCCTCCCACAGCTCCCCTGCTTAGGGCTTGTGTTTCTAACTGAACTCTTCACCTCTGTGCCTTTCCTCAAAACCTCCCTAACGTGCCATTTCTGTCTTCTGTCAGCATGCTCTTCCTCTTCCCACTGGGCTGTGACTTCTCTGTCCTTTGACTCTTGGCAGATACTGAACCTACAGAATTTTACTCTGCTGTCCCCTCTGAACACAGGCGGCCTGCTCCCCTTCCTCCACCTCTGTATGGGACATTTAAGGCAGCCAGTGCCCCTTCAAGGGCTTAACAGACATTGAGCTGAGGTGAAGCAGATAGAACATTCTGACATAGATTGAATTCTGTGGTATTTGGGGTATTTCCTTCCTTTAACAGGCAACAGAGGCCAGTGTGGTGGGGAATGGGCAGTGCTCACTGACGATGTATTTCTTCCTAGCTGTCAGTGTTGGCTTTCTAGAGTGGATAGTTACTTCAACATCAAGAAAGTAAGAAAGTGGCTTGCATTACAAAGCAATCACGTAAAATCCAGATTAGCGAAAGCATTGTGGGATTGCCAGTATAAAAGGCGTCTAGTTGCTTCATTAGAATTTGCACTTGAAGCCAAGTCCTGGTATACTATTGCTCAGCAGGAAGAGGAGAGTCTTTTATCTTGGATGCCTGTGTGTTTCATGTAGGAGAGGTTTGATCGACTGGACACCGCTGCTTTTTCAGGTTACATCCTGTTATAACAAACTCCACAGGGCATCCAGTTTCACACTGTGGAACAATTTTGTTTTAGCGACTACATTGTTAAAAAGTCATATCCCCAGGCTGTGGGAGTTATAGGAGTTGGAAGCAAAAGAGATCCAATTCCCAGATTTTTTGGCCATTGAATTAGTAAGCAGAGTTCTCAACGTGAGGGAAGGCAGAGTCTTAACATACCTCTGCCCCCAAACCTTTGTTCTCCAGTTTCTTCTGCACCTAATATGTGCATTGTTTGCATGCTTGCCAAGTAGTAGAATTTTTTTTGCTTATAATGGAGAGTGGGCATAAAACTGTTTATCTGTAGAGTTATAGAAGGCTTAGCAGTCTTTCCCACAAAGCAAATTTATTAAAAAGTTAAATGTCTTTGGTAAAAAAACCCCACAAAACACCTCATAGACAGACGCTCCTTATCTTATACAAAGAGTAATGTTCACTGAGAAGACAGAAGAGGGACTCGTGGTCATTTAGGAGAATCAGTTTTTAAGTCGTGCCCTGCCATCCTGATTGCCACCAAGGAGGGCTAACCTTCCTTCCAGTCAAAACTCTTATCTGTCTTTTGTGTAGGTTCTAAATAGATTTCATCTAGGGAGTGAAACAAAATGATTCCATTTAAGGAGTAAAAAGCACATTTACAGAGAACTTGACACATTGAATGAAGCTCTGCAGTCAGCAAATACTGAGCACCCTCACTGTGCCAAGCTTATATTAGCTACTAGGGATACAAAGAACATTCAAAGAATGAAAACATTCAAATTCTGGAGAATGTTTCACTTGTTAACATAAAATGATACCCCATAGGCTCATCACAAAGACCTGAGCAAAGAGCTGTGCGGATGCGGAGAGCGGGCTTTAGCAGGGGCTGCATCGGGCAAGATGCTTTTAGGGTGCAGCGTGGAAGGAAACACTCCTTCAGAACCCTTTGCTGTTAATACTTGTAGGGGAAAGTTTCAATAAAGCAGTGGGAACAGTTCTTATGGCATTACATAAAATCTTTATCCTATTTTTTGATCATTTTAAACCTGTAGCATGTATAGAGGCTTTGTGGTTTTCTACAAGGTTTTTTGTCTTCTACTCCAGATTTTCTATCTTTACAGAGTTTATGAAGTATTGAATTAACTGCTGCTCTTTCCCATTAAAATGAACTTTTGAACAGAGCTAAATATAGTTGCTGTCTTTCCCAAAATAAAACTTGAGAAAGCTCTGGGAAACTGGAAAGCTTTAAAAAAAAGCTCCTTCTATATTCTCTTAAAATTGTTAACTTGCCTACTCAATGCTAAAACCTTTCTTTCAACCAGATATACCATACGTTCCACGATGAGGTGGATGAGTACCGGCGACATTGGTGGCGCTGCAATGGGCCCTGTCAGTTCAGAAAACCCTTTTACGGCTACGTTAAGCGTGCAACCAACAGGGCCCCCTCTGCTAATGACTATTGGTGGGCTGAGCACCAGAACACCTGTGGAGGAACGTACATAAAGATCAAGGAACCAGAGAACTACTCAAAAAAAGGCAAAGGGAAGACTAAAGTAGCCGCAGCAGAGAATAAAGGTAACTTGATGTATCTCTTCCAGCTTTTCCACAACCTAGCTACAGTGGAAAGGCAGTCCTGTCCTTTAGAGAGCTGGTATTAAGAGAAGCTTAAGGGTTGTTTCTAGAAGTTTTCAAGTGTGGACTGAAAAAAATCCTATAGTCCATGAAATGATGGTAGAAAAATATACTTTGCTCTATGTAGATGGAAGTAAAAATGGTTTCCAGTGCTAATGTTTGAGGGTAAAGTCCCTTCCCCTATCTCCACTCAGTGAGTCATTAGGAAACAGAAGGTAAAAAGATTGTCAAAACAAAAACAGTAATTCAAATAACAATGCCCGGAATGTAAGTGGTCACTACACCCCTTCCTATCAGCTGGGTTCCATCCAGGTGACTTCTGTGGATGTCTGTCCTTCTGTTGGGGGACCGGGGAAAGCATGTGCCATGTATGCAAGTACTTCTCCTCAGGATTTGTGCCCTTCCTATGAAGTTCAGAGTCTCTGCCTTTCGAAGAGGTAACCAGGTCACTAAAGTTAATGCTTCCTCCCTTGGGAAGTTGTTGATTTGATGTGATAGGACCCAGGAACATGAGCTGAATTTCCCCAAGTCTGAAATGTTAAGTTGGGAAGCTACAGAAGAATTCGTGTGGAGAGGTGATGTCCTCATTGTCGTGAGGAGACTGCTATGGCAGAGTTCTCCCTTCTGGAACTGAACTTAAAGGGCTCTAAGCAGCTTCCAAGGTGAGGTCATGGCGCTGTAGGTCTGTGCGTGATAAAAGCCACATCTCAGTAGGAGAGCAGGCTTTTCGTGCTTTAGGTTCTCGAAGTGCGAGCTGACTGCTAGATTATCTCTCTCTCATTAATAGGTAATTATGTGGATCTAAGTTAGAAGGAAATATTTCTTCATTTTGAAAAACTATCCTTTGGCCTAATATATGTTACTATATTAATTTTGAGTCAAGGAAAAATCTTATTTGCCTCTTTTGCAGATAAACTTAACCGAATTGTCCCATTTAGTGGGAAAGGACATGTTCTAGGGGAAAAAAACAGTTCGCCTTCACCTGGGAACTTTACCACTTCACGTGCTGTTAGTAAAACCCAAGATCTTTTAAGTCAAGACCATTCAACAAATGCTGGAAGAGCAAATTCTAAAACTGAGGTGAAACGTGAACAGAACGGTTCGAGGAAAAAACCTCTAGTCTCCCCAGCTCTGAACACTAGTCACCAAAATGTTTTAAGCAACTACTTTCCTAGAGCATCAGCTGCCAGTCAGAAGGCTTTCAGAAGTGTGAGTGGATCTCCGACGAAAAGCACGGCCGGTGGTGACGCCGGCAAGAGCTCCGCCTCTGCTGGCTCCCAGAGAAGGACTTCGTCCTCCAAGAGTGCCCTGAGAAACTCTTTAAAGGCAGCCGACCCGGCATCCGCCCCTGCCTCCGCGCTCGCGAGTGGGCCTGAGCACGAACTCCCAAGTAAACGCCATAGGCAGGAAGACAAGGCTGTTTTTGACAGTTTCTTCCTCAAGAAAGAGAAAATGCAAGGTGGCGGCGGTGATCCAAAGTGCAGTTCATGTCCTGCGGCTGCGATGCCGAGCTCCAGCAGTTCAGCCAGCCAGAGCAAATTGGTCAGTTGTCCTGTTTGCCAGAAGGGGGTTTTGGAGTCTCAGATTAACGAGCATTTAGATTTGTGCCTTGAAGGTGACAGCCTCAAAGTCAAAAGAAGAAAAAATCTTTGAAAAAAAAAAGTCTCACATACCACCAGTGTTACCTCACCAGCAGAGGAACAGTCACTCAGGAAGTTCTAGTTAATACTAAGACTTGTAGGTTAGAGTCTAGTCCATGCAGCCAGTACAGATGTTCTATTTTCTATATGCATATGACACTGGAATTTAAAGTATTTGCCTAAAGGTGCTATATTTCTATTCACTCTTGCCTTATGTATACTGTAGCCCAGTTTGTTTTGCATGTTTTCATGCATAATTTTCAGGTACTGTTCTTTCTTGCTCTTAATCTGTTAATCTTTTTAGTTGCATACTTTCAGAATACTTAGTGAGTTCAATATTTGGTTAAATTGAGTATTTATTAATATTTAAACTCATCCCCAGTACTATTAATAGTTATAGTGTCAGTCATAGTGACCAAAAACAACCTGGAGTACGAAGTATGTTTGTTGTGTTACGGTACTCAAGGTATTTAAAAATTTTTTTAAATCTTCTAAATCTTAACAGAAAATGCATTTTATATATTTTAAAGGATTTTACTTGACTTTGGTGGCAGCAGATTTTAGGTTAAAGTAGATACAGTAAAACATTTCTTTTGGAGTATTACTGGTAACAAATAGCCACTATAATTTTGTATGCCAGAGTTTAGTTTCCTCAAAATTTAGCAAAATGAGTGGCTAAAACTTGGTGCTAAGTAACTAATACATATAACATAGCGGAGTTGCCTAGTTTATGTAATAGTGGAACATTATCTAAAAACGGTATTATGACCCTTTGAGCCAAAGTTGAAACCATTATAATAAAGGGAATACCGTTTGTTCACCGAAAACTTATTAAAAATCCTTTTTCATGTTATAGCGAAGGGACACACTTTATCAGTTTACTTTTGTTTCGTGGCTGTGCCTCCAGCATGCTAGCATATTCCCAAGACTGCACTTCACAATTTTCCTGTCTTTGGTGCGGCGTGGCTGGTACGCACAGCAGGTGCAGAAATCTTGGTGCGAAGCTGGGCGGACGTGTCAGTCACCACAGGTGTCCTCCCGGGCGCCTCTGCCCAGCTAATACCCGCAACCCAGAGGTGGTCGCCGCAGGTTAGCTTGTTTTTGAACTTCATAAGATAGTACTTGTTGCCATGCGTAGCGTAAATTCATTCTTTTTCTTTCATTGCTCTGTAGTGTGTGTGTGAATGTCAGTTTATACATCCCCCCTTTAATGGACATTGAATCATTTCCAGTCAGAGCTGGCCATTTTAAATAGTGCTGCCGAGAACATCCTCACCATTTTCCTTGGGCATGTGCCCAGGATTGGATGCCGGCACGGTGTATTTCTGGTTGGCTTTAGTCAATATTGCCCGCTTCTCCTACCAGCAGTGTGAGTTTCAATTGTCCAGCTGTTAACACTATTATCAGTCCTCGTCATTTTAGCCCATCTGGTTGAGAGTTCACAAGTTTTGATATTTAAGTGTGAAGTTGAAAAATAGTATTTAATAAATATAGATGACTTAAAATGTGTGTATTATGTTGAATATATGCAGTTACACTTTGATAAAGGATCATTTTCTCTAATTCAGTGTAACAAATTATGCACAGTTACACATTTTTGAGCCAAAATTGACAAGGTTCTGGGGCTACGAAGTAAATACGACAGTCCATGTCCTCAAGTAGCTTTGCAGTCTATGTGGGGAGGGAGACAAAAGCAGATTAATTTCAGTATAAAATGCCATCACAGGTTTCTGCTAGGTGCTGTGGCAACTTAAGGATGCCAGGATGGCATAAGGCTTCAGGGGATGTTCCTTGGAGAAGGTGACATCCGAGCTGCTCCAGGGCGAGTCACGTTGGCCTGGTAAGAAAGAAAGGGCCTTGCAAAGAGAAGGAACACAGAACATGCAAGGAGATAGGCCTGCCCACTCTGTTCCAGCTGAGCTGTTCCAGAGGAACAGGATAAATTGTGAGGGGTCAAGTGGCAGACAGGACAGATCTACCTGGCTGAGTAGAATTTTGAGGGCACAGACCCTATCTTATGTCCAGTTTGTGGTCCCTGGTAACACACCTGTTGGTTCAGGTGGGGGTGGCCCACTAGGGACGGGACAGGTGTGTAAACCAGTCGTCTGAGGAGCTGGATGGATTCTCGGGGGCAACACAGGAAGAAAGGCAGTGGCAGGGCTGGGGAGAGGGTGGGCTGGAGAAATACTTAGGTGGGAAATGACGGTCAGTTTTAAGGGATAGTGGAAACGTGAGCTGAAGGGAAAATTGAAGTTAAAATTGTAATTAAGCCTTCACTTTAATCTGCTAAAATCTGTTGAGAAAACTTGCTCACTAAGGATTCCCTTACTCAAATCTGAGTTGGTTATTATGTCAACAAAATATTTTATTCTGTTGACTTAGGTTCTTCCATTTTAAAGCAGACTTCCTACCCTTTAACAGCTGGTGATTCTGGGTCCACCTTCAAATGCTGTCGCCTGTCATTTGGGGTAGACAGGGAAGTAGACTTTATTTCGAACTTTTAAAGTCAAGGTTATATGTTATCTAGCAAAACTAACACTAAATTTAGTGTTTTGTCTTGATGACAAAAAACTTCTTACTGTTCCACTGTTCCAAACTCTGAGACTGTATTTTTTCGCAAAGCAAGACAGGATTTTTAAGAAAATTAGAATGTCAAAGTGAAACAGCTGCTGTATGCTGGCAAACCCGGTGCCAGCTGTGACCCTGACGCACACTCAGTATCTCATCGGGCCGCTGGCAGAACAGCTAAACTCGTCGCTGGTTCATCTTTCGTGAGAGGCAATGGTTTGCTGTTCTGTGCCTCCATTGTTGCCCTGTGAGGCTGTCGCTGTGCTTGCGGACTAGAAATGAAGCCAGGTGTCCGGTCATTCCAGATGAAGTTGCCTAGGGAGCTGAGGTTCACAGAGGGATCGACGTGGCGGTCGGCTCTGGCTGGCTTTTATTTTTCCTTGCATTCCGCTAGAATATTAGAAGTTATAGGATGACATACTTCATCATCACAGGAAATAAAAAGTAAAGCGCTTTCTTAAGGGGCCCTGGAACCATGTCATTACTAAAGTTTACGACGACGTATGTTGTGACACGGGAACCTGCCACCGTTTGCGTTGCTCAGCGCTGGTGGTAAACCCAGCACAGGATCTACCCTCCCGTTTGCTGAACACCAGGGGGCGCTCTTGGTAAGTTAAATTTCTCTGCTACACCCCAGGGCAAAATAAATCCAAAGGACCAGAGAGGAACGTGCCAGCAACTGCGACAGTAATTGCCAGTTCCGATTCATAGAGAGGACAGCCCATGACCTCAGGTCCTGTGAGAGGGACACAGCACGCCAGGAGTGTGCTTGTTCAAACACGGGCTCGTCCACAGGGCACCGTCTCCCTAAACTTGTTTGCATTTCACCTTTCCCTCTGAACACAACCTAAGAGTCTTATGCAAGAAAGAAACCAGTACCCACATTAGCAAAACTTCCCACCCCGGCCGGTGTGGCTCAGCCGGTTAGAGCATCATCCAGTACACCGCAGGGCTGCTGGTTCAATTCCCGGGCAGGGCAAATGACCAGGACCCCCAGGAGGGGGCATGCAGGAGGCAGCGGACGGGTGTTTCTCTCTCTCCCCCTTCATCTTTCTCTTAAAGTCGATTTTAAATCTCTTAAGAAACAAACGAAAAAACCACATGGTAATGCCCAACAGGAAGTCTTCCAGACGAGGCAAGACATGCGCTTCCAGTTCCTGACATGACACTTCTCTTCCTTGCAGTATGTGGCACTGCTCTGCATCGTCTAGTAAGTTAGTCTGAAAGTGTCCCAGGACAGACAGAATGTCCTTTGGCCCGACAGTCGAGGTCTACCAGAACCAAGGGGAGCCGCTTAGATTCTTGGTGTTGAGCAAATGAAACGGCCGGGCATTTCTTAGATCCACTGTCACCTGCTTTTGCAAAAACACCTTAAGGAACACACCCCTCTCCACAGTTCTCTGAAGAATCCGAGTTTGTGTATTTCCAAGCTGTGACCCTCGGGACACAAACCATCCCACATTATAAGCATTCCTCACAAACCGCGTACAGTTGACCCTTGAACACGGGTTTGAACGCCGCAGGCCCACTTATATGTGGGTTTCTTTTTTCATTAAGTACTGTATCGTCCTCATGATTTTCTTGATTTTTTTCCTCTAGCTTACTTCATTTAAAATAATTCACTAGATAAATATGTGTATACACATGTATGTAAATAGTTTTCAGTAACTCATAAAAGACACACCCACAGTACTTGTTCAGCTACAATCTTTTTAAAAAATGTTTTTATTGATTTCAGAGAAGAAGGGAGATGGATAGAGAGAGAAACATCGATGAGAGAGAAACATCATCACCTGGCTGCCTCCTGCGCGCCCCCTGCTGGGGATGGAGCCCGCAGCTCGGGCCTGTGCCCTGACGGGAATGGAACCGCGATCTCCTGGATCCCAGGTGGGTGCTGAACCCTGAGCCGCCGGCAGGGGCAGCTGCATTAACACCGGGAATCCCAGCAGCCACCTCTCTGGGGCCCGCAAGGCGAAGTCCAGTTGCCGCCACGCTGTGAACCGCCCCCCGTTGTATTTTTGGGCTGCTGCTCCTCGGTGCTGTAGTGTTTCACCGTGAGCGTGCCGCCGCGTGTGTCCACTCTGTTTTCAACTCTTGGCTGCTTTCCTACTTTTTATTATAGTTCATTATATTTTCAGTTGGATCTGTTCTATTTTGGGTACCTTATAATGTTAATTTGAGATAATTTTGTCTTTTTCCATTTCTTTGCTGAGTTATATCAATCAACTCTTGTTTCAAAGCTTCCTGAGGTTCCTTTTGGTCCATTTTTTGTTGAGATTTTTAATTTCTAATTTCAGGGTTAGTTTTGATCTCTGCAGTGCTGTGTGAGGCATTTAATTCAGACCAGGTCTCGGTCTGGCTCTCTTCTGCCCATGGTTGGCGAGAGTTTTCCTGAGTGTAATGGACCCTCACTGCTTTCTTACAGCCTTTATATGTTGTTTTCTTTTTCCTGCACATTTGAAAAGCATCATTTTCTTTGACTTGCAAATGCAGCTGGTTCTCTCTGGGCAGGGACAGGTGTGTGGCTTCTGAATTGAGTGCTCTCTTCTGTCGGAACAGTGAAGTGCAGCATTTTTTTGAGGGGTGAGGGGTTTGGAGTCTCTCCTGAGTCTGTAATTTCTCTTTCACTTTACTATCAGGCCGCCAGGAGACACCTTCCCCTCCCCCAGAAATGGTCCGTTCCCTGACAGGCTACCTACAACCTCACAAACTTTCAAACTTCCTCTTCTTGATGCATTGTCGTCAGATTTACCAGAGCTCCCTTCACTCATGGTGGGGTCCCTGTCTCCCCCCCCATGTACTGCCACCGCTGGCCCCCATGGCCCTCATCCCTCCACCATAGTTTCCACCTGACTCGACCTTCACGTGCGTCCTGATGCTGGCTCTAGTTTCAGATGCATGTTTCTCTGCTTTCATACAAGAACTTTTTCTGTGTCTCAGCTGTGCTGTAGGTACAGGTGAAAGGTGACTGTTCCCTTTTCTGTACAGTGTTGGGAAGATTATGAAAGAGATTCAGATTTAGGCAGCTGCCAATATTTATTGAAAAACTAGAAGCCCAAGTACCTCCCCTTAACACACAGCAAGAATTAGCGGACATGTTAGGAAAACTAACAGGAAAGACAAAAATGAAAACAGAAAGGTTAAATACTGTATCCATTAAATGGACCAGGTTATGTATTTTTTTTTAATGTTTTTATTGATTTCGGAGAGAGGAAAGGAGAGGGAGAGAGAGAGATAACAGCAATAAGGAGAATCACTTATTGGCTACCTCCTGCACACCCATCACTGGGGATCAAGCCCCAAACCTGAGCATGCGCTCCGACTGGGAATCGAACTGTGACCTCCTGTTCCATAGGTCAACACTCAACCACTGAGCCACACCATCTGGGCTATTTTATTTTTTTAAATTTAGAGAACAAAAAAGAGCTCTTGATTAAAACCTAACAGCAGACATGAAACCCCTGCTGGGAGAGCTGGGAAATAGATGTCTCCAAAATAAAGGGCAGACAGTGACTAAGAGAGAAGCAGCAGGCTCCAGTCAGCAGGTATTCCACAAACAGCAGAGAATAAAGGAGAGAAATAATGTAATTTTAAAAAATGTCCCCTGATGTAGGGCACGAACTCACAGTTTAGCATACTAGCTGTGAGCACACTGTAAGACTACAGAGCCCTGGGGGCAAAGGATAATCCCAGGGAAAAGGCAGGGTACAGAGACAGAATCAGCAGCAGCAAAGGCTTCAGACTGCTCAGCATCCACACTGGAGCCTAGAAGCAGTGCGGCAGTGCCTTCAGATTTCTGCAGAACCATTTCCAAATTAGAATTGGAAACTCAGACAAATGACCAATTAAAACAAAGACATTGGTCTCAGAAAATTTACCTTCCACACACACTCATAGAAGTACTGAAGGACACACACCGAAGGACTTGCTTCAGCAGACGGAGGCGGTAAACCAAGAAAGGAAGCATGGGATCCAGGAAACACAAGATCCAGCGCAGTGGTGAAGGGATCCCCAGAACAATGGTGAGAGGGGATCTAAGGAAGACGGCTGTGCAGCCGGCGCAGAGGGCAAGCACTCCGTAAAGCTGCAGGTTAGAGGCCATGAGGAAAATAATAATCAAGATACGAGGGAAAAGTACATTGTGGAAGAAAAGTCATCCTCGTCTACCCTCGTCGCAGGGCTGAAGCGCACACATAGTCTATGAACGTGACATTCACCTGAGTTACGACATAATTACACACGGGAGATTGGGGATGTGGCACGTGCTTGTACAAGTGTGGTAGGGATGGAGGGGGGCTGGAAAGGCCTGTGCCGTGTCTTCCATGCTGGGAAGTTAGACCTAAGGCCTAATGCTGGAAAGTTGAGGTGCAGCGATGTCATGAGGGTGCTTGCAACCAACTGGGCAAACACCCAAGGATCGCTTCAGCTGTACAATACCAAAGCTGGAACGATACAGAAAAGATGAGTGTGGCCCCTGCGCAAGGATGACACACAATTCCTGAAGCGATCCATATAAAAGAGTCACTTCTCTTGTCCTGTTTTATTTATAAATGGAGATAAAGTTTGCTCTGCTACTTTTTGTGTTCTGAGAGAAAACTGTAAGGGTATTTTATAGAACACCATAGAAATATAATAGTTTTGGCAGAAGAAAATCTTAACCTTACCCAATAACTTCTATGATGCTTTGTTCAGAGTTAAATCCATTCGATAAAATAAGCTCGAGCTGCCTGCAGCTCTGTCTTGGGAAGTGGCCTGTGTTCTCCGCTTATAAAAGTCTTCCAGCTCACGAGGCCATGCCCTGTATGTGCATCATTGGTCCCATGATGTATCCTTGAACATTGCCATATTTCAGGTGACATTTACTTGCTGGTGATCATGAAAAGAATCTGCATTAAAACCAAAAGGAGGGCCTGGCCGGTGTTGCTCAGTGGTTGAGCATCGACCCAGGATCTAGGAGATCACAGTTCGATTCCTGGTCAGGGCACATGCCCGGGTTGCAGGCTCCATCCCCAGTATGGTGCTGCAGGAAGCAGCTGATCAATGACTCATCATTGATGTTTTTCTCTCTCTCCCCATCTTCCTTCCTCTCTCTGAAATCAATAAAGACATATTTAAAAAAACAAACAAAAAAAGCAGAATCTGGGGAATGTATCCCTGATCTCAGATGTCCAAAAAACTACCCTTGAAGCAATGAAGACTGAGTACTTATACACAACTGTTTATAAACAATCCGATGTACAATTATATTATTAAATATATTGTATAAAGATGTACCACTGCGGTCTACAGCCGGAACACAGCTCTCATTCTTGAACCACATGCACCTTGGGAAATCTGTTTCATTTAGGCCTCACACGAGTCTCTAAGTCTGGAGCTACTGTGCTTATTTTCAGATGAAAATGGCTCCAACGGTCACACAATTAGGTGGCTGAGCCAGAACTAAACAGATTTTTCAATGTTGTCTGTGCCCTTTTTACTACACTACCTAATTTAATTAGTCTTCATCTCTAACTCATTTGCCGTCTCCTTTAATTCACCCAGCTATATCTCAGTACAATTTTCCAAATGCCCTAAGATAGGCTGGAAAAAAACCCACTAAAAAATATTCAAATGAGAGATAAATGAACATGTATATTGATCTCACTTTATAAGAGCTCATATATTTTAGTCTATGACCACACAAATTAATTTCCATCATACACACTAGGACACCTGTGACAATCAGAGACCAGTGTCCCTTCGCAGCGAAGGGTGACACAGAGGTGCTCAAGAGTATGAGTGTTAAGAGTCATTTTTAAAATCCTATTAAAAGGGGGAGAACCCAGATGTTGAGAATCTAGACACAAAGCTCATGGACCCCAAGGGCAGTCCAATGACCCCCAGGATGTCTCACACCACTGGACTCCCATGTTTACTGTTCTCTTTCCTGTTATCATTTATAAAAATAGCAAACGTGTGGACTAAGCCAGAGATGTCTGATAGAAAAGCATGGTATCTGACGGAAGGGCCCGTTAAGAAAGTCAGTATACGACAGAGGATTAAAAAACAAAAAAAGACAGATGGAAATAACAACCATGATTTTTTCAAGAACATTTATACATCATTTTAATTAGATTAGCTTTACAAGCAACTTGAGAGCTCTTTCGTAATGAAACACTGCTTTCCAGATCACATGACTTGACACTCTGTATATGAATCCTGAAATCCTTTGCCTGCTGTTTATAAAGGTCCATGTTTTACAGCTGGTTAATGTGTTGAATAAAAACAGCATTAGAAGCTTTACCTTTAACCAGGATTAAACACATATAGGCCACAAATAATTTTAAATTTTGTGTTAAGTAAGAGTCCTGCTTGGTGACAAGATAACGGTCCCACTAACATGAAATGAATAATTTTAAATGGATATTAGAGAAATGGCTATCCTGATTTCTTGATCCTTTCACAATGATCTCCAAGAGATTACACAAACTCTTCAAAAAAAACCCCCAAAAAACAAAATGTAAGACCTGTCCGGCAGCACAACCCACACAGAGCTGCAGAGATGGACATATGAATGACTTGGGGCTCCCAGACTAAGAGGCGGCTGCCGAACAGCTTGACAATGAGACAACCCTCCCATGAACACAATGCAATCTGTACTAGATTTAAAAATGGTAGCGCTTGAGTGTGGCCGAATGCAGGGCACTGCACTGAGCCCAGCTGGCTGAGGGCTGCGCTCCCAGGCCAGGCTGGAGAGGCACTTGCTGTGATGTTACGTTGCATTATCTGGAACAAGGAGAGGAAGTGGGACGAGACTGAACACAGGTAAAGAAGAAGAACAGAAACTACAGTTTTGTCCTGCAGGTTCTCAGTGAGACCGCAATACTCAGTCCCACTCTAGGTCCACACTGTCAGTTTCACTAAACAATTTTTTTTTCATGTTTTACATGAACAATATCAATCTTTTAATAAAAATTACTGAGCTTTCCATAGAAAAGGTCTCTAATTGAATACAAACTATAGAAATGCTAAAACTGTTGTAAGTTGAAATATACAGAAATATTTCTGTACGCTCACATTATTTTGGCAAAGAAGACCAAGGACAGAGAGAAAACTGGAGTGGGCATTCCACCCACAATGCATGCAAATGTGGATGCCACCCCACGCGCTTTGCCTGGGACACTGAAGTCTAGACATCCATTCCAATACACACATCAAGCAACCAAATCCGGGAGGCCTTGTGTGATTTTGTAACATTCCCTCTTTTTCTGAAAAGTAAAAAACTCATAAAACATAAAATAAAATTATCTTGCTGTTCACCTCTTGTGTTTTTTCAAGCTAACCATACATCTTTCGGTCCTGACAAGGAGGCCAGCATCACGGGTGGGGGGCGACTCAGCGGCGGACTGAGGAGTCACTAACGTTACATCTGTGACAACACAGGCCAGCCTCGGAGCATGCAGTCTCCCGCTAAGGCTGCCCGACAGGAACAAGGCTCTGATCTGCGGTTCAGATGGGTCACAGGAGCGAGAAAACATAACAGCAAAACTGGACGTGCAATCAACCTGACGGGAAGCAAGAGGAAAAGCCTGGGGAATGGGCTGTTATCTTCTACACTATAGGATGCACCTGAAAGCTTGAGAAAGCCCTTAATCTCAGGAACTTGATGCTCAAGATAACCTCAAGTTCATTTACTGCCAGTCACTGTAATTTTAAAAAAATTTAACCTAAAATATAAAATGTATTTTTCTTACTGTGTATTTTTTCTTATAAAACATTCAAAACTAAAAGTTATTGGTAGTAAGTGGTGATGGTTTTACTGTTATGTTTCATTATTAACAATGTCAAAAAACCAACAGAAGCTATTTTTAAGAGTTCAAATTAGTGTAAGGTAGGACTACAAAACAATTTTTCAGATGGCAATTAAAGTGCTCCTTATTTTAAGTAAAAAGGAAAATTAATCAGTCACTGGCAATAATCATTATAGGTCTTTTAGGGCAAAATTTAATAGTACGAAGAGGTTTACAAAAATAGATTGATGCTATTTTGGGGAATACTGTAATTTTTTTTTAATTCAGTTTTGATAAATTGTACCTGATCATACAAAAATTACTTCAAATTCAAACTTGACTATATAAAAAAGGGAGAGATTAAATGAACTCAGCTAGATGGCAGATCTGACAGAATATAAGAATGAAACAATGCTACCTAGGGCACTTCTTTAGTGTCCAGATGTCAATACCATTCTCAGTTGATAGCTTATACTCTTCCATAAGCAATCACAGGTTTGTAGTCAGTCATGCAGTACAAAGCCATAGTCAAATCTTCTTTCTGATGCAACACAAAAGAGTTGTTTCTGTTTCCTTATTAAAAGGCCAACTGGTTGTCTGTTTTCTTTATCCCGTTTATTTGCAGTCACAAGTTAACAAACAGCATCAATGATCATTGTAGGTGAAGAGGGGTATTGCTGGATCAAAGTCTCTCTATAAGACATCTTTACTGACTGAATCAGAAGGTTTATTTAGTTCAACCCTCACACCTTTCTCACCTGCAAGGTAAAACAAAAAACAACAACAAAAATTCATTCATTAAGCACCAGAGAGCCGTTACTGCTTCCCACTGAGTTTCTAACAGTATGCACAAGGTTTCAACTTTGCAAACACATGTCATCTGAAAACTATCACACTTGCACTTCCAAAAGCTACCCTGGGCACTGCACTATGACTCTGAGCTAGTAAACCTTCAAAGGGAAAAGACATTCTCTACACAGAGATTTTGTCTTTTTATTTAAAAAGTAATTTGTATTGTTATAAAATAGTAGTGTGTTCCGCATCACTAAAAGCACACTACTAGGCTTCCGCCAAAAATAATGACTTCCAAAATACAGAGAAAACATATGAATATCCAGTTTTCATAGTTTTACAAAAGGTTGATCTGGGATTATCAATGGCTCATGAAAATACAGCTAATCAGTAATGTGAACACTGAGCAAGCTTTTGGAGATACAAGGTAGGGTTAAAGAAGAGAAAGGTACGAGGTCCATCAGATGGAAAACTAGGGCTGGCTGCTCTAGGAACAGTCCCTAAGAGGGGAGTGGAGGGCCCGGCATACTGAGGACTTCAGGCTTAATATGTATGGCTGACCTATGGCCACCACTGGCAGATCCGGACTCTACACGCCTGTCTGATTGACTGATTCCGGCATTTCCATTCACCTCCTGTATCAACTTTCTTCATGTCCACAGTCAACATGGAAGCCCTGGAGAACTCTTTAGAGCATGTACATTTGAAAAGGAAAAGTATTAGCTTCCTTCTAAGGGGGAATGAGAGGAAGCCAGATGGCAGTTATCAAGAGCTCAGCAGTCTGTGACTGAAAAGGAAAATCACAGAAAAACTCAGCTTGTATTGGAATAATTTTCTCAGACTTCTTTGCCTCAAACTTCCTAATCTTTGGGCAATTCTTTTAAAGATAACAATGAAGACAAGAGAAGTCCTCTTTTAAATAAGGGAATTAAGGAATTTGACAAAAACAAGGACTGTGGGCATTGTCCTTCCAGTGTACCCTGGCCCCAAGTGCTGTTTACCTGTTTGATATTTTACTTTAGCTCGTGCTCTCTCATCTGCATCAAAATACCAAACAGTTATTGCGTACCTAAAAGAAAATTTAGAATAGGGTAAGAATGATCACACTGGGGGAAAAAAAGTGATATGCTGTTGCAATGGTCTATAAAACGTGTAATGTCAAAATAATGTCTCAATCAGAATGTTACCAGAGGATAAATGAGCACGTAACAACCCACTTATCCAGTAACCTCAGTGCTCAAGAGTACAGCAGAGAACCAGGAGCAGCTAAAACTGATGTTGCAAAGTTGATGAGTTTTTATGACTTTCTTAATGCCTGCTTAACCCACACAATGATCTGTTCTATCCAGAAACAGATACTTAGAAGGTAAAAGAAAGGCTGCTGCACTATCAACGGCATGAGCTCTGAAAAAAAGAGATCCGAAAAGGACTCAAGGCCTGGGAGCTTCAGTGACAGCAAGGACTTCACTGTCTTACATACAGCAAAGAATCATGATGGGTGTTTACAGTGTTATAATCTTGAGTCATCAAGAAAGATTTCAATAATGCTAAGAACTTTTTAGGATTTTTATTGAAACAATTATACCATGTTTAGACATACAGTTTAGCTAAACTTCATCCTTCTGAAAACTTTACTTATTTGGAATATATCATTCCACAAATAAATGAAGTACACAGTTACACCTTTTGGTACCAATAATGGGGAAAGTGTACACACTATAGGAAGTGACACGTGCTACAGTCAACTCCTTAGTAGAACACAGCAATCAGTTAAAATATCTTGCAGATTCTGGCCAGAATTCACTGGGGGAAAAGCAACACTGGTCAAATGAAGAGGCAGTAAATGTGACAGAGCTAAATCATGTATAATATTTGAAGTAAAGGTAGGGTCGGAGTATGAAAGTTTGGACAACTGGGGTAACAGGCTCGTGGATCACTCAGCTGGTGAGTGACAGAGCTGAGGTGACAGCCCAGCCTCCTGACTTCCAGATTCTCCTCTTTCCAGCACCTTTCTTAACATCTAGACTCTTCTATTTTTCCAAGGGGCATTGGTAGCAGGAGAGGGGCACAGATATATGATTTTATACCTGTTTTGCCCATGCCCCAAACTTTTAGTTACTTAGTAATCAGAGTTCTAAATATCTGGATCGACTCCCCTCTTTAGCACTAAGTCCTTACCAGAAACCAAGTAAACACTACTTGTCATTCTCTCTCTCCCTCTTTATCTCCCATTGATCCACTTACAGAATCTTCTCACAATAACTTCTGCACCGGAAATGGACTGGTCGTGTCCTTACCAACCTGGGCTTTATGGACACTACTGTCGTCCTTGCTTCGTGACATTGTAGGCCCAGCTGAGCTCCTCTTTCTGCTGGACACCTGACCCATCTCTACAGTTCATACACTGTCCCCCCCCTCCAAACTCGTTACATTTACCCTCTGTAATCATCTGGCATTAATTTACTGCCTGAAAATGTGTTCCTTCTTCATCCAGAAAGGACACAACCAGACCATACTCAAGATTCCACGAAAAGGAAGGTCTGTGAAGTGGTTTCTAGGTCAGAAAAGGTTCTAAAGCAGCAGTCAGGGCAGAACTGAGCACTGGGGTGCCGAGAAGAGAGAGGGGAGTCAGACCGGTATGTCGTGTATGTGCCAGGCTTCCGGGTTTCCATTCTCGGTTTCTTACGATCTCCAGCCACAAACTGCTCAGCTTGCTACTACTATATGAATTAGGGCTTTTAAAGGCAACGTGACTCAAAAAGAAGCCAGGAAAACTGAGAGAGGACAACAAAGCCTTTAGAATTTGAACTTCATCAAAGGCTAGCCTGTCTCTAACGTCAACTATTAAAAGCCAGCTCTTCTCAGTGTCTGAGGGCACACCTCTTCTCACCAGATCCAAACAATTCATGCCTTCGCTATCATGATGTTCAAAGTCCTTTTGATAATGAAAAATAGGTATTTAATACATAGTGCTATTTTTCTACAAATGTTTATTTTTACAACATCTATAACATCTTCCATTTTAAGTCTTAATAATTTGAGTCACAGTAAATCATAAAAAAAAATTAAGAATAATTAAACATAAGTTTAGAATATTAAACCTTGCTAAAAAAAAAAAATAATAATATAATGTAGAAAAAGAGATGCTATTATTAAAGCTAAAGGGTTATTTTTCTACCCATAACTCCCATACGTAATTTTTTCCTCTATCTTTTCTCTTCACTTTACTCCCTAGGTGCCTCTCATTTTTTACTCTTATCTTTTCCTGCGTCGCCTCTGCCCTGCCTGCCTCTCACCCCGTCAGCGCTCCCCTCTTCCGTCTCTACCCTCTCTCTACTCCAAGGGAATAGAGCTGACCCGTGAACTGCGCAGGTCCACTTACACGCAGATTTAAAAAAAACTATCATATTTTATCTTCCTTACGACTTTCTTAATAACATTCTTTCCTATGGCTTACTTTAATGTAAGAATACAGTATAAATATATATAACATAAAATATGTTAACCGACTTCATGTTATCAGTATGGCTTCTGGTCAACAGTAAGCTATTACTAGTCACGGTTTTGGGGGGGTCAAAAGTTACACACAGAGTTTCAACTGCCTGCATATCTGCACCCCTTTATCCACACACTGGTCAAGGGCAAACTGTAGTCTCACAAAACCCTAAGACAGACAGTAGTTAAGAGATGAGCAGAACAGGGAGATGGGGCTGTAGAGATGACCGGGCCTGTGCTTCCATTTTCACCTCGAACGAGGGGCAGCTGTGCCAAGAAAGTCCCATTTAGTACTAACTGTGAATAAATCTTATAAAATTATTCAAATTAAAAGCTATGACTGAAGCATTAGGATACAAGTAACTGAAGAACAGGAAAGCACTCATTAGAAAACTTAAGTTTATCTTATCTATCCCCGTCTGTCCCACCACAACCTTTAACAATTGTTTCTTAAGAGGAATACTACCTTGTAGCATATGCTGGTTGTACTTCATGAGGGTTGCGACGGTCAGACCAGAAAAACAGCAGTCTATCAAATTTGGGTTCAATGTCAGCAAACTGGGCTTTGCCTTCTGGAAAAATTCGAAGTATACCTCCACTTACCTAGGAAAAGAGCCAAATAGCTAAGTATGAATAACCACGAATGCTACAAAATTAAAGGGGAAAAAGATCATCACAGTGAATCAAAATTCTTAACTAGATTATTCAGATGTATCTCAATCCACAAGGTCTGAAAGTGAGTTGAGTTTCTAAATATATGCACTGATACAAGAAAAAAATCATTTCCTGTTTTAGGAATTTTGTAAATACTTGATGAAACAGATAAACATTTTCTGAATCCAAAAGTTTTAAAATGAAGTTTTAAGTTGGTAAACATTTCTTATTTACAGGGTGGGGCAAAGGTAGGTTTACAGTTGTTTGTATGGAAAATACAATAATTAATAAATAATAATACAAAAATAAACTCCGTGTTTCACATACTTACAACTGTAAACCTACTCTTGTCCCACCCTGTATGTATACTAATGATTTGCCTAACCTACTTTTTAAAAAAAATTTATCTTTATTGTTGAAAGTATTACAGATGTCCCCTTTTCCCCCCCATTGATCCCCTCCACCCTGCAACCACCCCCCACAGGCCTTCTCCATACTTTTGTCGGTGTCCATGGGTTATACATATTTATGCATAAAGTTCTTTGATTAATCTCTCCTCTCCCACTCCCCCACCCCCACCTTCCCATACCTACTCTTAAAATGTACACATTTCAAATCATCTTGACTAAATTACAGGCACACCTCAATTTACTATGCTTCACAGAGGTAGCATTTTTTAAAAATTGAAGGCAAAATCTTCTACTAACAAAAAGATTATGACTTGCTCTATTGTGATAATTGCTTTATTGCAATTATTTGCTTTATTGCAGTGGTTTGGAACCAAAACTGCCGTATCTCTGAGGTAGGCTGTACTATAAATGGTTAAGTATGTCATATAAGCAGCATTTTAAAGTTCAACAGATAATTAATAGGACTGTCACAAATGTAATGCCCCTTACTTAAAGAATTCAGTATATCAGTAGAACATGTCATCATTTATCATCATCATCATCACCACCCCTGTGGTCACTATTAGAAGCTGAAGCCCTCCCTTTCCAGACTGAGCCTGACACACTGATGACTACCTGCTTACAAGACTGGATTCCATCCAGAAAGGATTATTACGATTCACCCAAATATATACCCTTCTCCATTTGGGACCAGGGGGACCCACCTATTCATTGAAGTACTAAGTACCTATTGCTGGCACTGGAGGTGGGTCCAGGGGTGCAGAGTAGGGCATAATGCAGACAGAGGTCGTTCTCATGTATTTACAGTTTAGAGGGAATTAAAGCGAGGTAAAAACCACCCAAATGAGCAGCTCTTTACCCTTGAAAAACTAAACTCCTAAGCAGGTAGATTCTTAAATTGAAAGGAATTTTAATACTTGATCAAGACATCAAGAAGGTTGAGCCTATCCCTAGAATCTATAGTTAGAGAAGCTACTGACCAGGCTCATCCCTAAGTAAGTTAAATTCAAGCTACTTGGTACCCTTGCCCGCCTTCCTCAGGTTCCCGCGTTACTCAGAGTGATTCCAGCTGCACCCGCACACATCGGAAGGAACTTCAGACCGTGACCAAGAACATGTCTTCTTTCCCCCTGGCCCCTTCCCTTTGACTGGAGTCATTGGGAATATCACAGGGAGTCTGCTGAAAATGTTTAAAAAGGGACAGTTGAAGCCTTTCCTCTTCCCCTGGGACACCATCCCTGACCTCTGAATTAGGGGCGCTCCTATGTGCTCCCATAGCAATCCGTTCTGAACTTGGCGTAACCTACTGTAAATGTCAGCCTACCGATCTGTGCCTCCACTAGAGCCCAAGCTCTAGAGGGCTGCTGGTTCTACTTCTGCTGTCTCCAGTGCCCAGGACAATGTTTGGCACACTAAACACACTCAGCGCATTCTTGTAATGGAAGTTTTCAGTTCTACATATAAAAATGCTAAGGACTTTTTTCTGCTTATGTACTAATTAAAAACTATATATTAATGACTTTGGCTAGGTCATATCAAAATTAAAATACTGGCCTAAAGGACCTAACGATAGATATAGAAGTTAAGAGCTGATCAATGTATTTCCAGCTTTCCAAATACTCACAAAATCTGAAAAAAATTTTTTTTTTTTAAGTTATAACCAACGTTACACCAATCTATTTTGCATTTTGGGCTCAAGCTGAGTTACCAATTTTTATTTCTCTATTTCAAAGTTTGAAAGTTGTAACAGAAAAACCATGTTTGTTGACATAATGCCTCAAACTCTACTTAGCACTAGAACTTACTTGCATTTTGAACTTGGACTAGGACAGAGGAAACTCCTTAAATCAGAATGGTATAGAGAAAGATCACTGAAGCACTGTAAGCATTCCTAAATTTTAGGATATGTGTTTACGACAGAACTAGGTTTTGCACATTTAAGACCTGGTGGTTTCCATTTCTGTGTATATGTGTGTGTGAGAAGTGGAGAGGCGTTTCAAAACAGGAGAGGTTAAATGTATTATACAGGGGTGGGCAAAAGGTCTATATAATACAAATAAATCACAGTTAATATATAAATAATACAAGAATAAACTGTGTTCTGCATACTCACAACTGTAAACCTATTTGCCCACCCTGTACATTCTCACTGGTTTTATAGGATTTGTCAGTATTGATAAACTTCCAGTTTTTCCATAATCGGGGGGGAAAAGGGATCCTGCCTCCAGTGTTCAATCCAACAACCCAAATGCCAGATAACACCTCTGCAACAATGCAGAGTAAAGCAGGGGTAAGGAGCCAATAAGCTACAATAATTAATTCTACATAATCTCCCTCAAAAGCCATTATGAAGCAATCATTAGCAGGAGTGTTTTTATAAAGACTATTAAAGGAAATTATTTTAATAAAAGATACTTTTGTAACAGTTAAATCTTAGATGAACAGTTCAATATCTGAAAATAAGGGAATCCACTTTTTGAGATATACTAGTATCTGTTTCATTTTACAAAGATCCACTCCTAATACCTAAGACTGAAACAAATCTAAGAGAGAAATTTTTGCTGGTACATGTGTTAAAGACAGTCTTACCTATAAGGAGTGTGGACCTTAATATCTATGAAAAAAAAAACAAAAAACCTTTGAGAAAAAGATAAATGTTCAATTAAGTTGCATACCTTGGCATCCCAGTCTTTATTAAGATAATATATACATGTCACACATCTTCCATCTCCATTTGGATTATCAACATGACGTACATATCCCGTTCCATTGCCTGGGTAACAAGCAACCATGGCCTGCAGTAATGATAATGATGATTTTAAAAGTCCACATATGAATTAAAAAACAGCTTATAATAAAAAGAGATCTCTGGGGTTTTTTTACTACTCTGACTTATACTTAAATTTTTCTAATAAAAGTCACATTGTAGATAAGAAGAGGCAAAGACACTCTGTTGACACTATTTTAAAGAATATAAGGTAAGCTGATGAACAACGAAGGCCTAGGGACTCGTGCTTCACAGCAACGGGAAGAGCTGAACCCGAGGGGTCCGAGAGCAACACTGCTATGGACATTACGCTGTCACAAGCCAGGTACCCCTGCTTAAAACCCCAAAGACCAGAAGGATGGCAGGACCCACTTTCAGGATTTTTATTCATATTGACAGTCACGATTCAGTGAGTTCTGCCCTCCTCTATGGGAGGTCTTTCCTCCCTGAGCTCACCGCAGACCTACCTTACCGTTGGTCTCACAAACGCCCATCTGGCACTGTCTCTGAATGGTGCCAATCCGGACAGGCATAATTTAGGTCAACTCCAAACATTAACTCATTTCATGTAAGTGATTTTTATTTTTTTTATTTACTTATTTATTTTAATCCTCACCTAAGGATATTTTTTCCATTGCTTTTCAGAGAGAATGGAAGGGGGAGGGAGGGGGAGAGAGAGACAGAGAGATCGATCGATGTGAGAGAAACACATGGACTGGTTGCCTCCCCCACGTGTGCCCCGACCAGAAGCTGGGGAATCGAGCCTGCAACCAAGGTACATGCCCTTGACAAGAATCAAGCCTGAGACCCTTCAGTCCGTGGGCCAACACTCTAACCACTGAGCCAAACTGGCCAGGGCTATCAGTGATTTAAAAAAAAGGCTAAATGACAAGTTAGCAAGTGACTAACCTCTCTTTAAATCAGAAAGTAAGTCATTTTCTCGCTCAGGTTATAAGACAACGTAGTTCACAAGACTGCTAAGTGTCAAATATGAAGATGGAAGAGAGGCCCAAAATAAAAAGCACTAAAGAACTTACATGTTCTAGGAATGTGCACATAATCACCAACTGGGTGATGTAAAACCCTCAGAATTATGAAGACAAAAAGCAAGACACTCGAGGTTACGAGTCATCCTTGAAATCCTTATTTCTCCTGTTTCTTCATGTATTAACATCGATGGATCAGTATTAATGCCAAAGAATCAGTACAAAGCTACCAAACAGTAATTAAGTTAATAATTAAGTGCTAATTTCTAAAATTCGTATTCAGTTGATGAGTAAGTCTCTCCAAGGTCTTCAGCCTATGTAGCTGAACGAGTGGCATTAACCGCTTACTAAATGGAAACACCAGTGAAGGGCGGCTTTCGTAAGACTCCTGGGTAGGAAAGAAGCGTCTCAGCAATGGGCACAATGGGCCAGACACTGGGAATCACACAAAACCAAAGACCAGGATTACGCCTCAATATGGGATCTGTTTGTATCGGTCACTTCTCAATGGCTTTTCTTAGAGCCCTAGGGCTACATGGAGGTACTGGGGGTGGCTCTGGTGGGAGACTGGTGGGCAACGCAGTGAAATGACCTTCAACTAGGGGCTGCATTTATCTGTTTCCTTTATCTGAATGCCAAGTGAGACTTTCTGAAAAAAAATAAAAATAAAAGAGAAGTTTTAAACAATTGTGTTAATTAAATTTTATAATCCCTGTTATAGCTCAATTACCTCCATCTAAATGTATTATTTGAGGTGGCCATTACCACTTTAGCCTTATCTGGTGTTCCCTAGGTCTCTTTAGCTCTGTTCTGGTGATAGGGACTCTGCCAAATGAGGAAAAAGGAAGGAAGAAGGGGGGTGAGTGCTCAACAGGGCCTGCATTTAATCTGCCATCTCAACTTGTCAATACTGCTCCAGGAAAGGGAGCAGCATGTTATTATAGCTGTACAAAGGATAAAATGGAAGACCTCCATGTGAACCAGCAAACTAGAAAGCGTATCGGTAACTCAGCTCAGTGCTGGCGACTGCAAATAAGACTGAGAAGCACAGGCAGTCCTGCTCTGGCAGGAGGAAGGAACAGACCAGCCCCCAGGCCCTGGAACTTGGAGACTAAGAGGAGACAGGAGAGCCCAAGCACACCGGGAAAAACCAGACTGTCAAGAAAAACTGGAGACCCAAAAGAGCCAAACTCCTAGAGGTTCTGGGGAAAGGAAAATTTTGTAGGAAACTTGCAAAAAATCTGGAAGGGTCCTGAACTCATTCAAATAACCGTGTGGCCTAATATGATAGGGTAAAAATGCATTTAGTAATTCCTGCCTGTACTTCTATAAGTCTCATGAAATCTGGCAGCTACTATGTTTAAAACCAGAATTCATATTTTAAGAAAGTTATCCTTAGCTATGGTTGGATTATCAAAATTTAAAGTTCCTTAAATGTAGCACAGCTTTTCCAGTTTTGAAATAATATGCTCTATTTTTTAATTGGTAATTTTGTTGGATGGTGTATTGTATACATATCTTTGTAAAAAAGACTGATATTGCTGCTTCTGCTTAATTTATTTTGAATATGCAGAAGCTAACATAGTCTTATTCACAATATTTTTAGTAAATTCAGTTTCTTTTCTCTTAACCTCTTGGTAAAGCAACTAATAACTCATTGTACACGTGATTCCACCCACTTAAGCACCTTATTATAGTTGAAAAGTCATTAGCAACATTAAAAATATTTATGGAATACCTACCAAATCACACTACAGAAAAAGGTAAGCATGGTATCTGTCTGAAAGGATTTAACTGAAAAGGAAGAAAAAACCAGGCACACACAAAACAAATGATAAGGAAATAATAAATAGAAAAAAGAATTCTGGAAAAAGGAACTACTTGTGTTGGATAAAATAATGCGACAAGGCTTCGAGCTACACTCAAGTCTTAAGCTTACTTTTAAAGGACAGACCTGATTTGAAAAACTGAAAGGAAGAAAAGCGACAGTACGAGCATAACAAATACAAGAAACAGTTAAGGGGCAGTGAGGTACTTTTATAGGGGAAGGGAATTTGGTAGAAATAGGCTGAAATCTTGAAAATTAAGCAGAGGAAATAGGACATGAGCCCCTATGGTCCTTGGGTGGGGACAGCCATAATGAGAGCTTTTCAGAAGGCAGCTTCCTTAGTTCTAGGATTTATAAGATTATTATAAGACAAAGTGCACTGCTAATGTCTGTTTGTGTCCCTCCCCCCACCCTCACCCCAGATTCATGGGTTGAAATCCCAAGGCCCAAAGATTTAAAGTAAGGCCTTTGGGAGGTATCAGGCCATGAAGGTAGAGCACTCACGAATGGGATTAGTGTCTTATTAAAAGAGGCTCTGGAGGGATCCCTGTCCCGTCCTCCAAGTGAGGACAGAGCAAGAAGTGACTGGCTATGAACAGGAAGGCACCCCCACCAGGAGACCAGCATGGTTGCCTTGAACTTGGACTCCCCAGCTTCCACGACTGTGAGCAATAAGCATGCAGTTCTGTTGTTTAGGAGGTTACCCAGCCTGTGGTATTTCAGCCTGAGCGGGCATCTATAAAGGATAAAATTATTCCAAGAGATTGACACTAGACGGACTAATTCTAAGGATAAAGAAATGTATGAAGCCAAATGAAAGTATCTCCATCTCGAGAGATCTGCTAGGGACTGAAGTGACTCCCTAGTTGTCCCGTGTCCTTTCTGAGAACAGGACTAGCCACGACTACACACTTAAGGCTTGGGGTGGACACATTTATCCCAAGAAGAAACAATGCAGTTACCCACTACAGAATTCTGAGACGTATGTTCTTTATCTGCCATTTCTTTGAGACACCAACTTAAATATTTCAATTTCCCACTGGGAAAAGCCTATTTAAACATAAGCAAAACAATTAAATACTATTTTTTTCCTTTTTGATATGAAAATATACATGATTGCGGACGTTCTTAAGATAAAAAAAACACCATAAATTTGTTTTTCACTCTGAGAATAAAAGGAAGGAAGAGGTTTGAGATACTTCTTTGGAATCTGAAGACATTTATTTCTGGCACTGGAAGGCTTGTATTCAGTATGAATTTGAACCAGGAAACTTTTAAAAAAAAATAAATTTTCCCCTTTTGAACTGAATTATTTTAAAACATTGATTCAAAGCTAAGAGAACTAAAATTTTATGAGCTATCAAAGTACTATTTTTGCCCTGAATGAGGGGAAGAAGTTTATTATCTGAAAAATTCTCCTATGAAAATATATTGCCTTGGGTTCAGACACTCTGCCCTTTGTAATGCTGACGACTAACCTTTAGTAAGCAATTCTTCACATTTTTATGAGGTAGATACAATTAACATCGCTATTTTAGATATCAGAAAGCTGAACGACAGACCAAAAATCTTATCAAAGTCACAGAGACTCTAAGTGGCAGAGGTGAGGCATGAATTGAGGTCATCCAGAGTGGAAATCATCTCCTGTATTCTCACTCATTCCTGGCTCAGTAAGGCTTGTGTTTAGTCTGACCAAAGAGTTCAGATGAAACTGGTAACACAGCTCCTAAGTGACCACCCCGCCCCGCTACAATGATGCACACTTCACACAAAATGCTCAATTCTCCCACGTACAGATGTGCATAAGGTTGTTTCCTATGCTCCAGTCACACCTGTTAAGTCTCTTCCCCATTCACTTCCAAAGCGCACCCACCCACCACTATGGGTACTGTGGGGTTTATATAAGTCTAGCTCAGAAAGGGGAAAAACAGGTCATCAAAAGAACTGGACTGAGAGCAAGTTGGTATTTACTATAAGGTAATTTTTAAAACTTCAGATTTCAATTATACCTACTTAATCTATGTAAATCTCATTTCCTAAAGATAAAATTAATAACTTTATAAAAAGTTATAAATGTTCATTGCATTAATTAGCATACTGAATGGGGGTAATGGGGAAGGGCAATTTATGTGCACTTAAATCTCTTGAATTTTTGCTAAATTTAATGTAAAAATAACATCTCACCATAAACAAACTCAGACTTTATATGTTGAG